GCCTTTCTTTACACTAGCACTGTTTAAAAAAAGCAAACCAACATAAAACAGGTATTGGGTAAGCTTTGCCTTGCTTTCACCTGATGTGTTTCTCATCATAAATGCCCTTTTCAGTGGGCAATCTCATGTCTTTTATTTCTTATGTCTTAATTACTTCTTGATAGTATGTTGATACTGCAAATTCTATATTAAGGCTGGGTCGGCCTTGAAATGAAGCTGCATTTCCCACATGGCAGCATAGGTTAAATGTCGAAAAGCTGCAGTAATGACTGGTGAGGTGGAGAAACGTTTTCTCTCCTATGGAAGTTTTCTTGGCCTGAGAATGGGATTCTGGATCTGTTGATGAGCAGAGCTTTTTCAGTAATCTCATTTTCCTAGAAAGGAGAGAGGAGTGGAAAATTGCTCTAATTTCTGCTTTACCCTTATTGTTATGTCTTCTGTCCTCTTTCAGATGACTTGAGAACAGTGTGCTCCAGGCTACCGCATAACAAGTAAGAGACCTTTCTACAGCTGTGTTGGTTTTGAGGTGTATTCCAAGACACCCACCTGAGGGCTGCTGAGACAAAATCTCCTCTAAAAATTTGTGTGTACTTTTGGGAAGTCAGCCTTTATTCACACACAGTTTAGTGCAAGGATAAAGGTGATAGTGCTGGCTACTTCTTCCCTTGCAAACTGGACTCTTGACTGAAGGGAGACTTCCGTGACTCCCACCATATAGATGATCTCGCCCAGTCTCTGAACCAACGCACAGCGAGGGAAAGTGAAATTACAGTGTGGAACCTGTCCCAAAGTTGTCCCATCCCCAACTCCCTGCTTGTTTTACCTTAGTTTAAACTTAACTGCACTTTGCTTCTTGCCTCTTTGCAAAGAGCAACCAAGTTTTTTTTAAAAAAAAAAAAAAAAAGTCTGCTGGAAGCTGTAAAGAGAGTAATTGAATCACTGTCCTCTTGCCTCTCAGCAGCACTGTGTGTTGGTTATGACTTGTCCTTAGAGCCAGGCTGTTGTGGGCTGGGGAGAGCCACGACACAAGCCTCCTCCAAATGATCCTCATGCCTGTCTGAATTTCTCTCCACAGCCTGCTCCAGCTGGTGATTTCAGGTCCAGTACAGCAACCGACCCATGGCGCTCTGCCACCAGGATTTTATCCTCACATCCATACTCCTCCTCTGGGCTACCCTGCGCACGCCGCACACCCTGCGCTCCCGGCTCACCCGGCGCTCCCGGCTCACCCTGTACAAACTTTTATACCAGGAATGACATTCCCATACCGACCTATTCGCTAAAATGCTAAGACTGTAGAGTGTACACAGTTTCCCTTAGTTTGAGGAAGCCTTGCAGATGAAACCAAATGTCTTGGGAACCACATTTTCCTCTTTGGTGTAAAGCTGAGCAGTGCCCACCGGAGGGCTCAGCCCTTCGGCAGTAGAGAAGACACAGGCAGGTAGGCTGCAGTCGATTTGGATGCGGGATGCAGATGTAGATGCAGATCACAGGGACAAAAAGAGGGTGTGGGAAGAGGCAACAGAAACTCCAAACCTCTGCAGTGTGTGGAAGGTTTTGAGGGTTTTTTTTGTTTGTTTTATCCACATTGTTTCGTATATTCACCAAGGATATGGATATTTCTCAATCATGTGGTTTTTTTCAGCAGCCCTGATCTGTTTACGGCACGGTGAGCCCAGCTGGTTTTGCTCTAGGAGGGCCAGAAAGAAAAGTGTGAGATTTTTTTCAAGCTCGTCTGCTCCAGCCTGCTCGTTTCTTTGTAAATGTTTGTATCTATAGCTACAGAGTATGCCCACACTGTATATTTTTGGAACACAAACGTTCGTTTCAAAAGCACAAGGTAGAGTAAAGCAGCACTTCCTATTAAAGGAAACAATTTAAGAAGCATCAGATAATTCTGCCACTTTCTTTCAAACAGTGATTAGAAGGTCCGACTCGTTAGGCCTGTGCTAGGGAGGGAATGAAACCCCTTCACGGCCACAGTGACCCATCACCCTCCAGGCTCGGGAAGCGCCCTCTTCACACGCCTCAATTGGTGATTCCTGAAACTTTGGGGTGAGATCTGGTGCATTTAATTAATGCTGTCTGGAAAACTGGCCATGGGCTGGCTGCGGTGTGCTGACCAGCCCCAAGTGAGGCGCTGCGGGTGCGGAAGCGGCCCAGGAAGGGCGGCAGAACGCGTCGTCCAGCCCCTTTCATTGAGCTCTTCTCTATTGTCGTGCTGTGATGCTCTGAGCCCCCCCTCTGCTGAGTGAAAAAGTGAGAAAGAAGGGTCCTTTGTCTATGTTAGTGACTTTATTACAGCCACTTCCATGGCTGTCCATCTTCCTCCTTGGAGATGTGGTGGCTGGGGTTACCTGGTTGCACGCTGGCAGCAAAAATAGGACAGATTAGATGGAAGCTGTGAAAATGTGATTTGAATGAAACGGCTGAGAAGGAAACTGTTTGCCCTGTTCTGGAAAGGAAAGGCAAATTTGTAATAATGTTACAAGAATACGCTTTAACTTTTGGTCAGCCCTGAAGTGGTCAGGCAGTCGGACTAGATGATCATCGCAGGTTGCTTCCAAGTGAAATAGCCTATCTCATCTCACTTTCTAGAGCTTCAAAGACAAGGGGGAAAAGAAAAACAAAACCTAAAAAACCTTAAAATTTCAGGATTAGAGTCATTATGGGCATCAAGCCCCGGGCAGCGTGACGGGATGCCCCTCGCAGTGTGGAAAGCGTGGGAGAGGTGCGTGACCGACCCACGTCCTGTCCCCCCAGCCTTTGTGCTCGCGGATCCATCGCTAATTTTAAAATTCCCCCTTTAATTACCAGCTTTGCTTTCGCGCTGTGCCGGGGGCTGCCCACGTGGCCGTAGGGAGCGGGACCGTCCCTTCTG